TCTGTAAGCCCTACCCGACCAAGCGTTCACCGGAAGTGCCTCCCTTCTGCATGTCGATGAGCTGGTTCAGTACCGTAGACGACCAAGGCTACAGTTCATGCAGGCTCGTATCCTTAATGAACTGTCCACAAAACTTGTCAATAATTCGATACGCAAGAGCACCAGGACCATGAATGTTTTCTGGCACATCGGCTTACGAGAAACTAAGACTAATTATGACCCTGTGATAGTCAGGACACGACTGGCAAGCACTCTAAGGATACAGCTGAAATGTTTGTGGCTAGCCACAACGCCTACAATCTGTCATCAGGCCCGTTTGTCAATATCTGCATTACGAGGCGAGGGATATCAAAGCAGATGTTCGAAGAACCACCGAACTTACCCACAAGGAACAACGGTGATAAAATATATTCTTCGGGAAAGCGAAGGAAAATTCGGTCTCAGACAAGTGGTGGAGGATTCGTCGTAAGGATGAGGGTTGTACCGCTCGTAGTCAGCTGCAACCTCATGTCACCTCATTCCCTCGTTCTAATAATGCGGTTGAACAAGAGAACATCAAGGAAGATAATCGAAGATTACAGATCAACCTAGTGAGCGGTTATGAGAGAAGTGGGACAGTTCTATGAGAAACTGAAAAGCACAGTTTAAAAGACGTCCACCTACAGAATTGTCGAGGGAAATTTCAATCCTGTCGTAGGACGTGAGACAATCGAGACACGTCATGAATACGAAGTTGGAAACGGCCGAAAAGCGATACCGGAGGAGCACTAATGAAATGATCCTTAACCAAATCGACTACATGCTAGCGGAAAATAACAGATGTGTCTTTTATTGGATCAGACATAATCTTCACGGGGATTACTCAGCTCCAGGTCACAGTCGATGTCATGATAGGAGGTCGGTCTAGAATGGCTCAGAGACCCCGGTCATTGGACGAATATTCGATCGTGGAGCGCTTGCATTCAAGCTTCCTCAGCTGGATATCGGAATAGGCACCAGCAATGTTATCAGTGCAGACTAAGAGCACGCCACACAAGGCATCACGTCTATCATGCCATCGTCCTGTCGGGCACCAACGTCGATCTGAAAACAACACACCAGCCCAGCAATAAGGCAGCTGTTGGACCGAACAGTCAGAATAAAGGCTGGAAGAAATACGAAAGAAGATCTAGAACGA